AAGAGATGTCTCAGCAACCCACCCAACCCCCTCCTGCAAGGAGTACCTGAGAACTGGGGAGTTTAGTGTGGGACATGCTGAGACTGGAGACAAAGGAGTTCTACAGCTGGCACTGGGAGCAGGATATCCAGTGATAACTAGGCCTTGATATGGAAACCACCGACTTTGCAGGACAAGACAAGGAGTATCAGTCTCAAGCTACTTCCTAGGACCGAAACTCCACCACAAGGAACTAATCCTGTGGTGGCAGTTGACTCAATCTCCTCCTTTGTAATGGCTGATCTCATCAATTAGCCAAAGACTACATAGCTCCTGGCATCATACCTGCCCCTGCTATCACAGAGAAGATCCGAAGGGTTTTTCCCTATGCAGGGAGAGAAGTGGGAGTGCAGTGGGCAAGGATTGTATAAAAATACGGGACTCTATGGGTGCATGGAAGCACTTCTCCACCTGGAACTACTTCCCCACCGACGACATTGACGACATTGCTGGACCGTGGGTGGTAACTTTGCTCTCGCTTTCTGTCCTCTATCTCTCTGCTTTCTCCTCTCTTTCCTGTCTCTGTTTTCCTGCCTGTCCTATCCGTTCTAGGGACTTTGGTTGTGTTACTGCAATAAAAGTTTGTTATGTGCGTGACATCTGACCTCGTTTGTGTCTTAATTTCACCATTTGGGATCACCTTTATTTATTAAAATTGCCATTTATCCGAATACCGGTTTGTGACAACAATATATATTACAAAATAAAGAAGAAATACACTGAATTGTTGTTTTTCTGAGATCCCAGAACAAAACTTATACTCCCAAATGTCTTCCAAGTCTTGTACATATTTGCCTTTCATTTCACTCATTTATATGAAATATATTATGGCTTGAAGACTGAACTGGCCTATAAAACTTCCACTCTCAGTAACAACGTGGGAGAGGGTTATACTGATCGAATGAGACCTTCCAGAACCTCAACTGCAGTTACAGAGCTGCCCATGTGGCAAAAAAGGCCAAACAAAATAACACTGGGATCTGCCAGTACCATTTACTGCATGAATGGCACCTTGCAGCCTTTTAGCATTTTAAGAAGGACATAAAGATCACTACAGCAATGTTGCACTCAGGCAAAAACAGATTTTAAAAAGTTTACATGAGTTGCCAAGCACACATGTACAGATGTCAGCCTGGCATTTCCTAACTTTATGATGTTCTCTGCAGTGTATAATTTATAATGACTACAGAGAAGACAGAGCTGAATCTGTGATCTGTGGAAAAAAGACAGCAACTCTAATATTACCACAACAGCCTTACCTGTTTATGTGAAATGGGCACAGCTTCTTTCCTTTCAACATATTCATAAGCTAGATATAACATGAGATGGTAGCATGGCATTGCAAAGGCAAAAGCAAAAAAATGTCACAGAATCACAGTAATACATATGAATGAAAGAGATATGAAAATATCATCCATTTTATCACTATATACTGAAGAGGATCAACTATTACAAGTCCTCTCTCCAGTCGAAAACAAAAAAACGACTCCATACTGACACTTCAGCTGTGCCATGACTAAAATAGACAAAACATATGGCCCCAGGGGCAGCTTCCCTGTTCTAGACAACTTCCTCTATGCTTGTTCTTTAGGACAAGAAGGCAGCCAAGGGAAATCAGCAAGAGGACAGCTTTAGCTCCCAGAGACTCCACCATGATAGCAGTGGGCTTTGAGATTAGAGGAGAGCTCAAGCTGTGTCCTGGAAGCCTCACTTGGTCATCTGTGGTACAAAAAGGAATGCAGTGGTAACCAGTAATTGCTCACAGTTCCTTTGGGTTAACTTGTTTTAGCACCAAGTAACATTGCCACCTCCTGGAAGACTAAGGATTAAATTTTTCAAAAATTTGCTTAATGAATAGGATTTTTAGCTCATCAACCTCTGTTAACCACTAAACAGAAAATCACTGCTTAAAAAAATTAACCATCATTAAAATATGCTACATCTCCCATGAAGCCATACTGCTCACTCTCTCCCTGCCTGCTGGCACTCAGTTGTTGCCTAGACTTTCTCTTCTGCTGGGGCTGTACAGACAGTGCATTGCTCGCTCGTGTGCAAGACTAGGTAGGGCTATGTGCATTTTCTATGGCAAACCTGACACAATGTCCTGTCACTTGGTCACATAAAGAAGTGGCTTTCAAACTAGATTAATCCATTTGATGCACTGTTGTTATTAGTTCCCAAATACCTCTCACAGAACATAAAGACCTCTATGAGCTCAAGTTTGTAAGATGCTCTTAAGCAGCTGGGAAGCAGCAGTCAGCTGGATAAGCACCAATGAAGAAAAGAGTGGGCAAGTTCTCAAAACCACTAAAGGCATCCCAAGTAAGGAACTCAGTGAAACAATCCATGAAGTAAATAAATGTACTTAAGCACCTTCCCCATAACAGGGCAATAACACCTGCCTGAGCTACTATTATAAATTAACATGATGTACATAGATTAATTGCATGTCTGGACGTTAAGTACAGATGAGGGTCCAGGGAGATGGGGTGATCAAAGGTGAATACAAGCAATTTGGCATAGTCAGGTATAACATCACCTCAAATATATTTAAATTTTTTTTGTTGAAGAGGAAAATATCATGGGCAGAGTACATATCAGAGCCTCATGTGCACATACACATTACATACCCCTTGAAGGTTACAGGGAAGGATGCTGAGACATTTGTGACTTTCCATGTAGAAGCTGCATTTAAAAGAAAAAAACAGTTTTTATCCACAGATAACAAGGTTCTGAGCAATTCTCCCAGTTACAATTTCAAAGATACATTTTGACCTCTTGGGATGTCAGTGGTCCCTTGACAACTCTATACAGTAGAATGTTTAGCTATATATGACTGTCAAGAGGCAAAAGAGTTGAAAGTGGCTTTGTATCACACAGGATATTTAGGATTCACCAGTGCTGCATTATCCTGAGGATGAAGCTCTATTTGGATTACTGATGAACATTTCAGAACTTCAGTTCTGGGACTTGTATTTCTAAATGGATCTTCTGTTTGGTACACAAATACACCAGAGGTGTTTTTCACATGGGTCAAAATGGTAATTCACAATACTTGCATGCTGTTGGATGCACACAGAGCTAAGATTCCAACTTTCTGCAGCTGAGGGGCCCAAAGAGAGTTTTCACACTTATGCTTTTGCCTTTTCAGGCTCTAATAAGGAGTATGCCTCACTTGGCTTCTTTTTTTCATTAAACTCTCACTACGAGAAACACAGCTTTTCTACTCTCTGCAATGTGTGGCCCTCATAATTGTCTCCCACAGACATGAACTCACTTTGGTTACTCATTTTTCAGATCAAGGAGATCACAGAACTGGTGTCAAAGGATAGATGATTCATTTTACTGCCCAGCTTGTGGCATCTAATTCTGTTCCAGTTGACTCCTTGCCCCAGCTTACCAATCAGTTTCATTTGCAGATGTCT